CTGTTAAGACAGCAGGTAAAAGTTGGTCTGTGTTCTGTCGGAGCTGCCTGCGACGCGCTGATGAGATACAAAAAGATCGAAATCGCGATCCGCGTCTGGCAGTTTCGACAGAATATAGACCACTTCGAATTAAATTATTTTATTCTATGTGATACTTTGACGTTTTGGGAAAAATATACTTATACTTAGCTGTGAAATTTCCGTTATTACCGCCTACTTCTTCAGCAGTTTAACAGCATATTTATCGAGTGTATTATCAAATATAAATCTGACTAGGAAGAGAAATTGATCCAGAACAATGGCATTGGAAGTTAAAAAATAATATACTATAACCAATAACAACTTTATTACCACCAGCACCCGATGATCTACTGAACACAATCTTTTGTAATTGTACAAAAGGTTGTGGCGGCAAATGTGGATGCAGAAAAATTGAATTAAGATGTTCAAAAGTTTGTGGACATTTCCGTGGCCTGTCATGCTTAAACGCAGAGTCAACCAATGATAAAAATTATGAAGATGTCGATTTAAATATAAGATTAAGTCTACTCGACTTTTTGTCAGCAACTGTATATAGAAACTGAAGATATCGACAATGAATGACAAAAAAATGTTATATACTAAAGTTTGTTATTTCTATATTTTTCAGTATTCAAATAAAAAATTTTTCACTCTAAAATAAAAGAAACCTCTTATTACATATCATAGATTATGCCTACGGGGGAAACCATGTAAAAAAAACGCACCTTGCATTCTACCTAGAAGGTGGTGAGGAAACGAATGCATCGTCATAATGTAGTCGCTTTCTCAGCGCTCTACTCCGAAAATGGTTAATTTTACAGAAAAATACAACAGGATTTTTTTTTGTAGATAATTTTACGACAAATAATTTTTATAATGATTAATAGGTCGCGAAATATTTGCGAAAAACTGATTTTCGTGACCTTTTGACCTTTATAACTTTTTTAGCCGGCACGATATCAATGTCGATTTTTCACATCTTCATTACAACGCTGTAATAAAGGTGTACACAAAAATTCAGCTCACTAGGAATTTTTCCGCAGATAAAACCTAAAATGACTGGACTATATTAGATAACATTTTAGGTAAATACGAGGGTGGATTGATAAGTTTCCGGCCTGACCAAGAAAAACAAGGTTTTTAAAAATTTTTTTTTTTTATTTCTCAACATAATCTCCTCCAAGGCTGATACATTTCTCATAGCGGTGTTCCAGTCTATTAATGCCATCTCTATAGACTGATTCGTCAAGCTCCTCAAAATAACCATTTACAGCTTCGATTACTTCTTCATTGTCCGCAAATCTCTTACCGCCAAGCCATTTTTTGAGATTAGGGAACAGAAAATAGTCACTCGGGGCTAGGTCTGGAGAGTAAGGAGGGTGCGGCATCAATTCAAACTTTAGATCGTTGATTTTAGCCGTCGCAACGATTGACGTGTGCGCTGGTGCGTTATCGTGATGAAACAAGATTTTTTTCTTCGCCAGATGAGGTCGTTTAATTTTCACCTCGTGGCTCAAACGTTGCAATAAGTCTGCGTAGTATTGACCAGTGATAGTATTACCCTTTGCAAGGTAATCAATGTATATAATACCTCTTGCATCCCAAAAAACAGTAGCCATAACCTTGTTCGCCGAAAAAATTGTTTTTGCCTTCTTTGGAGTTGGTTCCCCTGGTCCAATCCACTGTTTAGACTGTTCTTTGGTTTCAGGAGTGTAGTGGTGGACCCACGTTTCGTCAACGGTTACGAATCGACGCAAAAATTCGCTTGGATTACGCTTATACAATGACAAATTTGCGGTAGAAATGTTTTTTCGAATCAATTTTTGGTCGACTGTTAGCAAACGCGGCACCCATCTTGCACAGAGCTTTTCCATATGCAAATGTTGGTGCAAAATATGTTGCACACGTTCATATGACATCTTACAGGTCTCAGCTATCTCACGCACTTTCAATCTGCGGTCTCCCAGCACTATTTGATGAATTTTTTCGATCATATCTGGAGTTGTGACCTCAACGGGGCGTCCTGAGCGAGGCCCATCAGAGGTGCTCACACGACCCTTTTTAAACTCGGAAACCCACTGCTTAACGGTTGAATATGACGGGGAGGATGTCCCCAGTGTTGAGTCCATCTCTTTTTTAATTTCCTTCGGCGTTAACCCCTTCAAATAAAAGTATTTGATGACAGCACGATTTTCCTGCTTTTCCATTTTTACGAAAACCACAGAGGCGTCTTGTTCAGCGTGCTGTCAAACCTACACTAGCAAGGAGATCGGGCTGAAACTATAGCTACAAGCTATCCAAGGATGGTACTATAGAATGTCACCTCAAGGTAGGCCTAGTGGCGTCATCTCTTGGTTAGGCCGGAAACTTATCAATCCACCCTCGTAAGTTATTAACTGCCATTAGTTTTGCATCAACAGGAATGTTACACTTAAGCATAATTTCTAAAAATCAAATAGTCAAAATGAAGCACAAGTTAAGACATACTTATACTGTTTACACAAACGATTGAAATAGAATTTTATATAACTATGGAAAAGGTTGTTTTTATTTCATATGTACCTACTTTGGATATGAAATGTACCATTTGTATTATGTACCCACGATTAATAAAACAATAGTTATTCTTCCTACGTTATATCTAGCAATATTACAACATAAGATTTATTATTTAAAAAGAAAATTTGTTCAAAAGAATACTTCTGCTCATTAGATGAGATTGAAAGAAGTTATCAGCAAAATAATTGCATTAGAAATTTATTGCAAGTTAAACAGGAGCCAACCTACAGACAGAATGACATATAAAACATAGGTGTTCTATAAACATAATTGCTGCAGACTGATAATAAAATTAAAATGTTTGCTCAGGCTGCTAATTCTTATAAACAGAACACTTACGTTATGCATGTCAAAATTTCTGTACTAATTAATAAAAATGCAGTGTACGTTTCTCACATTAATAACGGAACGAATCATACTTCTTATTATATAAGCCTCAAGAGAAACAATTTTCTGTGAGTTCTAATAGTCGTATTTACGTGCATAACACATTGTTGTAATAATCAAAAACCTCCCGTTGCTGTAGTTTAACACTAAATAAAATTAGAAAGTTTTTTGTTCTTTTTTTAAAAAAAGTTTTCTACGAAGTAGCAGCGTACCCCTATAATGGGTAAATTCGTATCACTTTTTATAAATTTTCAAATTCAAAATTTTAAATTAGCATCTACAATTTCATTAAGAAATTAGACAATTGAAATAAGACGTTTATTATATTACAAAAATAATACAAGATATTCCTATATCGGAGGACTTAGCAGTAATTTATTACTACCGATCCCTTTTCAGAAAATATTCATCAATGAAAATAGTCATATTATGATAAATACAAAATACAAGCAATTCTTAAAACATTCTCTTAAAAGCAATTCTATTCTAAAGGTAGAAAACAATTATTTCAAAAAAAATGATGATACAGTTTTTATTGCCTGTGCTCTTACATATGGGTCACAATCCTCACATAAATTCAATAAACGGTGGCTCAAGGTGACCATGGGGATCTCATTAAACGATTCTTCATTAGTTGCTTGAATAATGATTCGTGCCAACAAAAGAGCATGGGCTTTTATTAAAATACACTCCGTCTTCCAGTACGAGGCACAGGCTTGTAATAGAACTGGTAATAATTCCTGCAATTCTTCACCCAAAATAGCAACAAACTCGCTTGTTAATTCAGTAAAGTTGACGTTATTGGTTGAAATATTTTTTTGTATTGTTTTGGATATGTTAGGACTATTTAAAATTGGAGCTATCCTTTGCAAAGCATATTTACATCCCTAGAAAAATAACACTATAATTAAATAAGAACAAAATTTTTTTTGTATTTAGCAAAAATGTAATATAATAAATAAATAAATACCTAAAACAATTCCAAAAACCACGTGGTACACTGGTACACAACAGAACGTATAATACAAGGTAAAACGGTAAAAAAAGGTTTCTTTTCCTCTAAAGGATCTTGTAAATAGTATATGTAAATAAAACGTTTTTTTTTTCTAAATAAACTTGTAAATAGTATATACGTATAATGAATTAATTTAGTATAAGTAGATATCACAGTGAGTTAACTTAATTTTTGTATTAAGTAATTTTTAGTTGTGTTTTTTTTTTTATTTTTGATTTTAATTTAGATATTGAAAAAATGGAAAAGTCGAAGAGCTTGTTGTTACTTCTCAACATGAGAATATTTAGCCACACATTAAAATTTGATGAATGTAATGTCCCGTCTTGATTTAGACGGACTACGCGCCTAATTAAATTTGCGTAGTTAGTTAGATGAAATGATAAGAACACAAACTTGGTTTATCGGTTTATTGGTTTAACAAATTTGGTTGTATTTGGTTCTTAATCGGTGATTTAGGTACTGGTATAAGAAATGAATATTGACTGGTTTAAATGATATATGAATAATGACTAGTTTAAAGGTTGAATTAATATTTTCTGGTTAACTGAAGTATCAATATTCTACTGGTATCTTAAGAATCAATATTGTCTCTATATAATACATGTCTAAGTATTTAAAGCTAAACTATATACAAGGGGTATGTGGGGTGGTTACTACTATTGGTTGAGACTAGGAATTGGAAGGTGGTAGGCGTTGTAAAATTTTAAGTAAAAGAAAAAGGTCGGTTCTGGAGCTATATACAAAAATACAATCGTAAACTAATCCGATTCGTTACAGTATGCTCCGAATATAGAGGGACAACTGTCATAAAGCTATAAGTCATAAGTTAGAAAACTGCCTGTCAAAGGCACAGCAGGAACGGTCTAAATTTTCTAAATACTAAAAAGTTATGTACACTATACAATATAATTGACGAACCGGAACAATGAAGTTAAAATTTTGGACCGAGAAGTTAACAGACAAAAAAAAAATAAAATAAATATATCGGAAATGATACACACAAATTCAAAGAAGATACCTTATTACTCAATAATATATATAAACCTCTCTTGTGCGGACTGACACAGCTATTATGGAAAAAAAATTAACCTTTCGCTTGTTCGGCTGGGCAAATTTCGACGTTTGCATATGACGACTCGGTAACTATAAGAGGTACAAACAAATTAATGGCAACTTCTATATGTTTTTTTGAGATAAATTTTATTGCTGTATTCAAAAACTTGCTATCGCCTTCCCTCGAGTTATAAACAAAGTTGAAAATATCTTATTTGCGATTGTATTCAGTGGATAAGCAATTAATAATCTTTTCGTAGATTACTCCCAGTATTTTTTACATTGGCTAGTAGACGTCCGTCACATGTATGGTAGTAATCATCTGTTGGTCATTTTAAAGTGAGTTTAATTTGAGTTTTCCTAAAATACACTCCTACCTCCTTTTCCTCCTCTCATCACCATATCTCTATCCATCCCCATATCTCCACCCCATAAAATACTACGGTCCTCACCATCACATTAAACAAAATCATTTTTCTACTCCAATCGCCCTTACATAACTTCTCACCCAAACCCCATAACCTTCCCAACGTTACCCTTGATTCAGAAACTTGATTCATAATATGCGCTTCACCCCTGTTGTTATCACTTAATATACAGGGTGTCTCACGATGACCACCCATTAGAATATTTCGGAACCTACTTCGATTATGATTTTGTAAATCTGACCAATACCGTTATTGGGTATGCCCTCCTCAAAAATTATGGTATCTATGTAGCACTTTCGGTTATATCGGAAGTTGACATCAACTTCGTTATTTTAAATGGAACCCCTTGTACATTACGACGGTATTGAATTCTACTTATGATTTTAGGTGGACTTTCATACACCTAAAATTTACCGTTTTCCAGATATTAACCTTTTTTTAAAAAAATAGCACATAGTAGTAGATTACACAAAAGCATGCTTACTTTATAGTAAGAACGCTGGAGCAATAATATTCTCAGGAAAGATAATTATACTATCAAGCTTTACTTCCATAGTTTCAAATAATGTTAATTACATATGGCACAACTTCAAAACAAATAATACAAGTTAATTGTTGCCACTTAAAAACACATACGGACAATTTAGTCATTAAATATTCTGATCCTCAATGTCAATTTTTATTAAGAATGAAAAATGAATATACGTATTCAAATTAAGTAGAATCTTAAGAATTCATTCATTCGAATTGAATTATCCGCTACCAAAATTATATCATTCGCATATGAAATATTCTATATCTTTCTCTTCCCCACTACAATTCCCCCTTCCTTTAGTTTACTCATCTCATTTTCCAGATCATATATATATATATAGATATATATATATATTGATATATATACCGAGCGGCATGGCCTAGAGGTCTAGACCATTGCTTAGCATTCGGGAGGACGCCGGTTCGATTCCGGGTCCGTCTGCCTTGGTCCAAGTTTTTCTGTGGTTTCCTTGGATCACTTAGGCAAATGCTGAGGCAGTAATATTCCACAGATAATCTTTCATTCTCTTCTGTCTTCATTTCGTCCGTCTCATCTTTCTCACCCGAACCACCACCCACCCATTCCCACGATTCCTGAAAGCAGGCTGAAGAGGGCCTTCCGCCTTACCTTCCGGCGTAGTCCGGAGGGACTGCCCGCCCACCAGCATTACTGGCTGGTGGGAATGAAACACCCAAAAGTTTTTTTTTTTTATTGATATATATTAAATTGTTGAATATGACAATGAGTATACATTAATAGTTGGCTATAACAGTTGATAGTAGTATCAATGACGACCACTGTGTGTGCGTTATATTAAGTTGAGGTGTAACCGAAGATTAATAAATTTATTTAAATACAGCTTGAACCCAGTTCGTTTAATTAACATCAGGTTATGGGCCCAGACACATAATCAAGTATATTGATATTGAAAAGTTGAAGAATTGCGAAGGAAAAACTTGTTCAGAGTTATGAACGAGGTTGGATAATGGAGAATAACAGTAACATCAACGTGGTCAAGCTGGAGGGTTCCAAAAATTGGAACATTTGGAAATTTCAAACGACGGTGCAGTTGAGAGGCCATGGCTGGTTGGACATTGTGGAGGGAGTGTGTAGTGTATTAAGCCTAAAAGTGCTGCGGATCCAAGATCCAAGAAATGCAAAATCAATTAAAACAGATGGGCGAGGAAATCTCTGACAAGTTTGTAATTACAAAAGTGTTAATGTCATTGCCTGATGAATATAAGCATTTTGTGTCGGCGTGGGAATCTGCATCTGATGATAAGCAAACCATTGATAACTTGATGGCCAGATTATTAATTGAAGAAGAAAGAGTGAAAGGAAAGAATGAAGAATTCCAGTTAACTTCATCATCACCTGCGTTCGTCGTGAAAATAAAAGACCTGTAAAGTGTTATAAGTGTGGTAACAATGGACATTATCAAAATGAATGTAGAAGTAATAAGAATAACAGCGAAGAAAAACTAAAAAATAATAACTGCTTCTATTGTGGAACCTTCGGACATTACAAGGTACAGTGTCGGTTTAGAAAACAGAAAGGTGGTAAGACTGAGAATACAACGAAGATTAATGCATTTGTAGTGTCTAACTCGTCACAAGAATTGCATAAATAAAGGTGGTCAGTAGATTCTGGTGCCAGCGAACATATGTGTCGAGATCGCGCATTATTTACATCGTTCTTAAGTTTGCAGAAATCGGTAATCGTTAGTAATGGCGCAGTAATTAGTGCCCTAGGATGCGGACAAGTAGCGGTACAAGTATCGAACGGAACCGAATGGATTGATACAATTATAGACAATGTGTTGTACGTTCCAGAATTAAAAAATAATCTATTTTCAGTCAATTGTGTCACAGATAAGGGTTACGTCATGATGACAGATGACAGTTCATGCAAAATTTACAAGTGTGGTGAAGTCTGTGCAGTAGCAGAACAAAGTGGGAATTCTTATTATTTGGAATTACGTCATAAACGCGAGTGCGAGACTGCAAATAATGCAATATTAGTACAGAATGACTTAAATGAATGACACAAAAGACTGGCCCATCAAAACTTTACTTACGTGAAAGACTTTACTTCGGAAAAATAATGTGGATGTGAAACAGACTGCTAAACCGCAATGTGAGAGTTGTTTAGCTGGAAAGATGCATAGATTACCATTCAGTAAAAGTGAATATATGAGTACTAGGACATGTGAGCTAATTCATGCTGATACTTGCAGCCCAATGGAAGAAGCCTCTGTTGGTGGGTCGAGATATTTTGTCATACTAAAAGACGACTACTCTAAGGGTGTACTTTGTCAAAACAAAACATGAGATCAAATATTGCATTGAGAATTTTATAAATAAAGCTGATAATATAACTGGAAATAGAGTAAAGTTGTTTAGAAGTGACATCGGACTAGAGTTTGTTAATAAAGAAGTGAAGACAGTATTTTCAAAACGTGGAATAACACACCAAACAACAGTGCCATATACCCCTGAATAGAATGGGAAGACTGAAAGAGAAAATAGAACATTGGTGGAAGCAGCAAGGACAATGTTACATGAAGAAAACTTACCGAAGAAACTGTGGGCTGAAGCAATTAATACAGCGGTGTTTGTATTGAATAGAACTGGGAAGAGTCACGAAAATGGAAGGTCTCCATTCGAAGTATGGACAGATAAAACGTATAATATTCATCAATTGAAAGTCTTTGACACTGCAGTGTATGTTCACATTCCGAAGGAAAGAAGAAGGAAATGCGATAAAAAAAGGGTTAATGGTCGGTTATGAAGAGGATGTGAAAGGATATAGAATTTATTTTTCCCAAAGGAACACAGTGGAAACTAAGAGAGATGT